CGTTTCTCGCCGGCAGCCGTGAGTCTCATGATGAGATGTGGTGTGATGCTGTGCTGGTATTTGCACTGCCAAGTGTATTGCTCTCCAGATGCAAACGCATCACCCACGCATCACACGCGCACCGCTCTCACACATCACACACGCATCACACATGAACTCACCTCCTTTCACGCGTCCATGCACATGCCTCGCCCAACCATTAGGATCCTTGATCTGGTGTCGGAGGGCAAGATTGAATGGGATCTGATGGGCGAGACGCCACAAGACATTCCAAAGGTGTGAAGGAGATGGTGGCGGGTGTGTGGTTGTTTGTTGTGTGTGTGTGTGTGTGTGTGTGTGTGTGTGTGTGTGTGTGTGTGTGTTGGGTTGGGGGGGGGTTGTTCTTGTGGCTGATTGATGGTTTTGCAGCCGACACCAATACGCCGGAACCACAACATCCGCCCCCCCCTGCTTGCACTGCCAACACACACACACACACACACACATACACACACACTCTCTCTCTCTCATGCACCCTCCGTCGCATGTTACGAATTTTACCTCACCCTCTCACCTTCACACCCCCTCACCTCTGTTCCCCCCCTTCTTGTTCAGGTGTATGATGAGATTGCGATTGGCGACCACGTGTACGGGCTCCCCGCCGGCCGTCAGGCGTTTATCGACACGCTTGCCAAGCGCTTCCCGAGTGAGCGTGCAGGCATCGAGAAGTGGGTGCAGATGTGCCGACATGCGTCGCGCCAGGACCAGTACTTCACGTTGAAGGTGGTGCGCCCGGCGTGGCTGGCACGCCTCCTCCTCCGCTTCATGGGCGGCGCGTTTTACAAAGTATTCAACATGACGGCTCTTGAGGCCGCGCAGTCTGTGACGGACAACAAGGAGCTGCAGGCTGTGCTGCTGGGCCAGTTTGGCGACCACGGGCAGACGCCGTCCAAGGCAAGCTTCTTCATGCACGCCTCCGTCGTCAATCACTACATCCGCGGCGGGTACGTCACTGCTGGTGCTCGTGCTGGTGGTGGTGGTTTGTTGGGTGGTGGGGAGGGTGATCGTGGTGATGGTAAGTGATGTGGGTAAGTGGTTATGGTGGTGGTGATGGCAGTGAGGCTGGTGTTGGAAAGGGATTGATTACACGCACACATGCACACATGCACACACGCACACATGCACACATGCACACACACGCACACATGCACACACGCACGCACACACACACACACACACACACACACACACACACACACACACACACACACACACACACACGCACACATCTCAGGTACTACCCACGTGGTGGCTCGACTGTGTTTGCCAAGAAGATGATTCCTGCGATTGAGCGCATGGGCGGGCGCGTGTTGGTACAGCAGTACGTGGACGAGGTCATTGTCGAGAACAACACCGCGTACGACACCATGAAAAGCAAGAGGAGAGGCCGAGGTGGTGCTGATGGTGGCCGGGTACATGCGTGTGTGTATGCATATGCGTCTGTGTCTGTGTGTGTGTGTGTGTGGGGTGTGGGGTGTGTGTGTGTGTGCAAGTGTGTGTGTGTGTGCATGCGTGAAAGTTGCTGCTGCTTGCCGTCTCACATCGCTCCCTCACACACCACCACCACCATGCTCAGGGTTGGTGTGCGGATGCGCAACGGGGACGTGATCCGGGCGCGCGAGGCCGTCGTCTCCAGCGCGGGCGTCTTTAACACATACGAGCGCCTCCTTCACGGAGACCTCGGTGAGGGCTGATGATGGTTGGTGGTGGTAGCGGTGGTGGCGTGATGGGTGTGCATCGTTCTCTCCTCTGTGATGCCTGCTGCGGCCCACAACGTCACAACACGGACCCACCCTTACAATTGCTTTGGACTCTACACACACACACACACACACTCTCTCTCTCTCTCTCTCACTCACTCACTCACTCACACACACACGCACACGCACACTCACTCACTCACTCACTCACACACACACACACACACACACACACACACACACACACACACACACACACACACACGCACACGCACGCACACTCACTCACTCACTCACTCACTGTCTCCCTCCTACACACATATGCATACACACGCACCCACCACACGCTCACAACACACGCTCACAACACACGCGGCCTCACTTGCCTCACCCGCCGCGCAGTGCCTGACACAATCCTGGACAAGATTGAGGCGATTGGGCCGTCGTGCTCGATGGTGTATCTCTTCGTCGGTATGCGCGGAACAGCAGAGGAGCTCGGGCTCCGCACCAGGTGAAGATGATGATGGCACGAGGCGTGAGGGCAGGAGCAGGTGGTGGTGGTGGTGATGATGCAAGGTGAAGGTGTGATGGTTGCGGCTTTGATAACCCAGCACACCAGCAAACAAACAAACAAACAAACAAACAAACAAACAAACAAACAAACAAACAAACAAACAAACAAACAAACAAACAAACAAACAAACAAACAAACAAACAAACAAACAAACAAACAAACAAACAAACACACACACAAACACACACACAAAATCAATCACACAAACAAAGAAAAACAAACAAACAAGCACACACACACACACACACACACAAAATCAATCACACACGCACGCCACTTCCCCTCATCCTTTGACGCTCTTTTCCTTGACACCCCCTCCCCCCTACCCGAACGGCAGCAACATCTGGCACTACCCGCACGCCGACTTTGACAAGGTGCTCAGACGTGCTGGCTGAGCTCACACAGCAATGGTTGAGCGATGAAGCTATTCCCATGCTCACAGCCGCGACAAAGCCTCTTTTGAAGGCCATGCACCCGTCCCATGACCTTGCCGCATTCATTTTGCTGCTGTCAACCACCTGCACCTCCCAGCTTTCTTGTCCCATTCCTCGAGGATGGTTCCCTCATTGTAACTGACACCGTCCCCACCTCACACACACACACACACACACACACACACACACACACATACACCTCACACCACCGCCACGACGACCGCCTTTAGGTGCTTGAGGACGTGGCTGACGATCCGGAGACGGCGCCTCTGCCGCTCTTTGTGGGGCTGCCCTCCGCCAAGGACTCGACGTGGAAGCAGCGGTGTGTGCTGGCAGCGATGTGCATCGTGATGGTGGCGATGGCTGCTGGTGCTGGTGCTGATGCACGTGGTGGTGCTGATGCACGTGCTGGTGCTGATGCACGTTGTGGTGGTGGTGGTGATGCACGTGGTGGTGGTAGCATTTTCCTGCTCTACCCACCTCCCTGCCTCCCCATATCTCTACGTATGTGCATCTCCGTGTCTGTCACTGCCACCGACACTCTCTCACTTCCACACACTCACATGCTTTCACACACACGCACACACACACACACACACCAACGCCCATCATGCAGCCACGGCAACACGTCGACTGCCGTCATTCTCACGATGTGCCCGCACTCTGTGTGGGAGGAGTGGGAGGGAACGGAGCAAGGCAAGCGCGGCGAAGCTTACGAGGTATGTGTACTTGCCCCCCCCCCCCGCACACACACACATAGACACGTGATCACGTACACGTACTTACGAACATGCACACGCAGGTACAATGCGTGACAGATGCTGGTTACTTCGTACAGGTGCTGCGTCTCATCAACCAACAATACATTGTTTTCGCTTCGAAATACGCACACACGCGCAAACACGCGCAAACACACACGCCTTTGCATGCTGCACACAGGCCAAGAAAAAGATGTTTGGTGAGCGCATGCTCGAAGGCTTCTTCCACTACTACCCCAAGTGCCGCGGCAAGGTGCGGTTTATGACACATGAAATTCAACACACACACACATACATACACACACGCACGCACGCACGCATGCACACACACACACACACACACACACAAACGCGCACGCGCACACACACACACACACACACACACACAAACGCGCACGCGCATGCGAACATCCACGGCCTTCCCTCAACTTCTTCCTTTCGCTGCCCCTGGGTGGCAGGTTGATTACACGGACGTGGGCTCGTCGCTGACCTTCAACCACTACCTCAACAGCCTGCGCGGCGAGGTGTATGGCCTGGCGAATGATGCTGCCCGCTTTGCCGAGCACGACTGGCTGCGCCCGGAGACTAACATCAAAAACTTCTACCTGACAGGCCAGGTGTGATGACGTGATGAAACGTTGGCCGTCCACCGTTGCATTGTCGACGTTGATGGTGCTGGTGCTGGGTGCGTGACTGCGTTGCTTCTGTTCTCCTTCGTTCCCTTGTACTTGCCTGTCTTGATCGTGTGCTGAATACCAACCCCTTCCCATCCTGATGCTCTGCCATCATTGAACACACCACAGGACATTGTGACTGTTGGTGTGACTGGTGCCCTCATGGCAGGCGTGCTCACCGCCCACTCCATGCTCGGTTACGGCACCCTCTCCGACCTTTTCAGGTGCGTCTTTGGGTGTGTTTGTGTGTTGTGTGTGTGTGTTGTGTGTTGTGTGTGTGTGTTGTGTGTTGTGTGTGTGTTGTGTGTGCGTGTGTGTGTTGTGAGTGAGTGAGTGTGTGTGTGAGTGTGAGTGTGTGTGAGTGTGAGTGTGAGTGTGTTGCTTGCCATAATGTTGTCCCCTCCTCATTCTATTATTGCTTCTCGTGTTTTCCATGACAGTGGTCGCAACGTCATCGAGGACATCATGCACCTTGACAAGCAGCAACGATCAAACTCTTGAATGATCCATCACTTGTTGCGTTGTTGTGTTATTTTTTACAACACGGCACATCAACCAGGGCACATGCCACGCCCTTGTTCCCCATCGTTCTTCATTCTTTGAGAGTTTTCTGTTTTCAATGACGTCACCTTTGTCGTCATCAGTCCGCTTGCTGGTGGTTGTTTTGATTTTCCTCCCCTGCTTGTGTTTCTCGCAATCATCAATGTGGTGGGAAGCAGATCACGCCTCTGTTGGTTTGAGTGATCAAGCCCATCATCATTCATACCACCTACCTACCGAGCCAAAACAAACACAACCCGCAGACCGCACACGGCAGCGCGCCCGATCAGGCCCAAAAGCTGGGTGAAGCCCCAGGTTCATATAAGCAACGCAGTCTGGCATTGCTCCTGGGACATGTCACCAACGACAGCATCGCGCACAATGAGGGTTGTCGTGGCTGCAGTGTTTGTCGCTGCCGCTTGTTGTTGTTGTTGTTGTTTTCCCCCCTCTGCCACAGCGGCAGACGTCCCTGTCGACACAACAACAACAACAACAACAACAACAACAACAACAACAACAACAACAACAACAACAACAACAACAACAACAACAACAACAACAACAACAACAACAACAACAACAACAACAACCAACACCGACACCGACACCACCACCACCGACACCGACGAGCCCGTGCCGCTCAGCTTTGGGGACTTCTTCACTGGCGACCGGGATGTGTTCTTTGACTCCGTGTATCAGCATGAGACGCTGATTGACCACCGGCCCACGCCGGACGCCTTCACGCCGCGGCTGCGCCAGATCACAACGCCACTGAACCAAGTGCAGTCATTGTGCCACGCCTTTGAGCAGCAAGACAAGCAGAGCGGCGGCTTCCACGTACGTGTTTGTGTTAGTGTTTTTGTTGTGTTGATGTGTGTGTTTGTGTGTGTGTGTTAGTGTTTGTGTTTGTGTTAGTGTTTGTGTGTGTGTCTGTGCTGGTGTGTCTGTGTCTGTGTCTGTGTTTGTGTGTGTGTGCGTTTGTGTGTTTGTGTGTTTGTAATACACGTCATGCTTTCAGCGCTCTTGCCTCCTCCCCTTGCCCTTGGCCTTGTGCGTTGCCTTCCTCAATCACGACTTTGACCTCGACCTTCATTCCCTCACACATGCACACGTACACACACGTACACACATGTACACACACACACACACACAACGTACACATGATCCACAGATCAAGGAGCAAGGCGAGACGCGGCAGGTGTCGTCATGCAAGCAGATGGAGGACGAGCTGGCTGCCGGCGCTGGTTTGCTCATCCGCTACGAGGACCTCGTGGACTCCCCCGCCCAGGACCACGTCAAGCAGCTGCAGGACGGCGTGCGCGACGTGTTTGGCACAGAGTCCACCGTCCACCTGTACCACGCCACGCAGAACGAGTCGCGCGCCCTCATGCCGCACACAGACCCCTACGACGTCCTTGTCATCCAGCTCCACGGCTCAAAGCGCTGGACAACCTGCATCCCAGACGCATACGTCTCCGACACCGACACCAACAACGACGGCAGTGGCACCAACGCAGAGGACGACGACAACGCCAACACCGGCACTGGCGACCACGGTGCTTTTGCTTCTGCTTCTGCGTCGTCGTCTTCCTTCCCAAGCCGCCATGGCACACGCGCACGCCCAAGCGAGGCAGAGACCATCAAGCACTTCAACCCTGCGCAGCTGGGCCAGCTGCAGGAGATCCGGCGCCAGAGGCAGCAGGGGTGCACGGCGTACCAGGACGCAGACCTGCGTGGCATGCGCTGCAACGAGTTCACGCTGCGTGCCGGTGACACCATGTACATGCCCAAGGGGATCATCCACTTTGCGCTGTCGGGCGAGGAGGGCTCGTCACATCTCACCATCTCGCTGGAGCGCAAGGGCCTGGCGTGGGCCGATGCGCTCATGCACGCGGGGCTCTCTGGCTCGGACATTGTGGACAACCCGGCGTTCCTTGGCCACTGGAAGAACACGGTGCAGTCGCTCATCAGCGACTACCGCGGCGTGCAGCTGCTGGAGGCCATGCCATCCTGGCACCTCAACACGGGTGCGCTGTGTGCAGCGCGTGGACAGGAACAACAACAACAGCAGCAGCAGCATGACAATGGCAGTGCAGCTGGCGGCGAGCGGGATGAGGTGAAGGCGTTTGTGGCGTCGTTCCAGTCGCTGTGTCGCGAGGTTGGACCCGATGTGCTTGAGACGTACACCAAGGCAAACGACCTGGACGCGTTCCTGAATGCAGACGGCATTGGCGCGCTTGTTGAGCGCGTGTGCAGCGAGGAGTCGGCCGCCGCTGTTGTGGAGCAGCTGTGCGCACGCGGCAAAATGCCCGTGGACGTGACGTCGCCCCGCTTCCGCAAGATGCGCGTGCCGCAGATGGTGCGTAACGTGTGCATTTGTGTGTGTGCGTGTGTTTGTGTTTGTGTGTGTGTGTGTTTGTGTTTGTGTATTTGTGTGATGTGCGATGTGTTTGTGTGCGTGCCATGTTCAATTACTTCATGATAGCTGTGATGGTGGTGGCATGGCCCTGCGCTGATGTGTGCGACCTTGTCCCGGTGACATCAGTGACCCACCGCACGCGCCTCCGCACTCATTAACCCTCATGAACACACACGCACACACACGCACACACACACACACACTCTCTCTCTCTCTCGCATTATCCATCACAGGAGCGTGTGCGTCGTGCAACTGTGACGGCCGCATACACCTGCAACACTGGCTGCGATGAAAGCTGTGACACGTAAGGAACCACTTGTGCTGCATATGCCTGGCACTTGCGCTCATGACTCGGAATGCACAGCCCAAATTCATCATACACATACACATACACACTCTCACCACTTGCACGCGTCTTGTCACTTGTGACCAGGTCAAGCTGCAACCTTGGATGCGATGGTGGCTGCACCGGTGGCTGTGATGATAGCTGCACCAGCTGCGACACCGGCTGCGACATCTGCTACTCCGGATGCAACACGGGCTGCGATGTGACCACGTGAGCGTATTGCCATGCGGAAACAATTCAAGTCATGTGCTCGATGTCCTTGACTCCTTGCATAGTTTGTACTTCTGTGGCGAGTGTGTGCGTGTTCTCACTTACTCACTGATTCTCCCACATCTGCTTTCACTGCACTGTCATCTCAGGTGTACTGGAAGCTGTGACACCGGCTGTGACATTTGCACCACTGGCTGTGACAGCCTGTGCGATGACAGCTGCAATACAGGATGTGATACTGGCTGCAATCTGAGCTGTGATTTGGGTTGCGACACGGGCTGTAACACGGGTTGCGACAGCAGCTGCGACAGGTGATCATCCGTTAAAGTGGGATGAGAAGCGGGAATGGCCAAGCTTCGCCTCTTTGTTTTGTAAAACATGCTCTCTGATTCTGTCCGAACTCACCTCACTCTATTCCACATCATTTTGTTCGATGACAGCTCCTGTGATTCGAGTTGCAACGGAGGGTGTGACGCCTGGTGCGGCTGCGACAGGTGAAGCAAACCACTCGCTTGCGTGCGTGGGCTTGACACCAAAGTGGACCTTGAATCAAACGTGGTTGACACTCGAAATGGTTGCGTCCATTGTATTCCCTTGCTCTCTTGCAGTTCCTGCGACAGCAGCTGCGATTTCTTCGGATGGAGCTGTGACTCCGGCTGCGACGGATCTTGCGACTATCGTAAGCGTCGCGATGTGATGTGCAGTGTTGTAGCAACTGTTTTGTGCTTGTGGGCCTACACATGGCAGCTGTTTCTCTTATTCGCAATACTCACACCGTGAATTGCGCATGTGTTCACGGATTCACAGAGTGCAGCTGCGACATTTGCTACTCCAGCTGTGACACCAGCTGTGACCTTAGCTGCGATGACAGCTGTACAAGTGGGTGCGACTATGGGTGCGATACATGCACCACGGGATGTGATGACAGCTGCACCTCAGGCTGCGATGGAAGCTGTGACGGAGGTACGTGAACCATTGCAGTCATGATGATGTGTGACAACAACGAAGACGCGCCTGCAAAGTCAAAATGTGGGTGTTCATGCGACAAATCACGCCTGACGTTCACGATTGCTCACCTGAACCACCATGCCCTACTGTGCTGTGCTGTGTGCTGTGCTGTGCTGTGCTGTTATATGCTGCGCTTTAGGGTGCAACCTGGGCTGCGATGACAGCTGCGACAGCTCGTGCACACAGTCAAGCTGCGATACGGGATGTACAACCAACTGCAACGGTGGCTGCGACACGGGCTGCGACGGTCCATGCAACACGTAAGTTGGCGAAACAGGTGGTGCTCGCGTTGTTTCCATGGTGGATTGTCTGTGAGCGACACAGACCACTGGTGGCAGCTTGTGGCAGCTCAGCCCTTGTGAAATCGTTTTTGCGCCCTTTCGTTGGTATTCATCACTATTGCAATCCTGTGCTGTATGCATTGTGCTCGTTGAACAGGGGATGTGATGACAACTGCAACACGAGCTGTGATGAGTGCACGTACAGCAGCTGCGACAGTTCATGTGACGGATCGTGCTCGTGCAACCCGGGCTACTACGGCAGTGGCACGTCGTGCACTGCATGTGGCCCCGACACGTACAGCGCCAGCAGCGGCCAGAGCTCATGCACACCGTGCGGCTCCTGCGGCTCAAACCAGTACCGCGTCAACTGCGGCGGCAGCAATGATGGTTCGTGCACGTCGTGTGGGTCGTGCCCTGCAGGCTCTGAGCGCACGGGCTGCAGTGGCACCAGCGCAGGCACATGCTCGCCGTGTGACTCGAGGTGAGTGCACAGCATGGCACATGCAATGTCGTGCGTGCAACTGGATGCAGAGGCATGTGCGTGTGTGGGCGTGTATGCACTTGTGTGTGCATGTGTGTGTGCGTGCAAGTGCAAGTGTATTCTATTCATGTGTCTCAATATGTGCGTTCGCTTGTGTTATCGGGTGCGCGACCTCACACAAGGACACACCACCTTGCTTGCATGTACGCAACGTTGTGTTGCTGCTTTCTTGTCGTTGCAGGACATACAAGACGTCACAAGACAACCAGCCGTGCAGCCCGTGCGGGTCGTGTGCGGCCGGGTACTACCTCGCCGGGTGCGGCGGTTCCAGCGCTGGCGAGTGCGTCGGCGTGCAGTGCAACACGCCACCGAGCGTGAGCCATGGCAGTGTGTCCTCGCTCAGCAACAACGGGCGGTATCCCAGCACAGCGACATACACGTGCGCGCCAGGGTACATGCTGGCCAGCTCCAGCGACAACAAGCTGCAGTGCCAGACAGACAAGACGTGGGCCGGGACGATGCCGCGGTGCATTGGCGTGCCGTGCCCAGGGATTAGCATTGCCCACGGCAGCGTGTCACCGTCAAGCACCATCCGTCATCCATCCACAGCAGGTGTGTGTGTGTGTGTGTGT